AACCCAAACTATTTCAAGCCTTCCCATCCACTCCCAAAGGAAAAGAATTGGGACTAGGGAGAAGGTGGCTAGCATTAGGGAATGCCTCTCTTCCTACTTCGACGGGCCTGCTCGCCCAGCCTCCTACTCCATCGCCTTACCCCAGTGGGGATTACCCCCCACCGTTGACAAAGGGGCCGCTCCGTCGCTCCCCTCGGAGTTGTACCCCGGAGGGCCTGAGGTCACGCAGAGGGGCAGGATTATGACTCTGCTGCCGCCGCCGCCCCCACACAGCCAAGGGCACGGCTGCCTCCGTGGGGCGCAGAGGGGGCAAGTGAGTTGCCCTAGAGACGCCCTGGAGTCCAGGGGGCAAAGGAGAAGGGCAGGCGAGCGGAGGCCTTATTTGACGGGACCGCCTCCTCCTCAACTCAGAGAAAAGGCGTAGGCAGCGGCCCCTGTCAGGTCTCCGCACCCCACAAAAACTCCCCGTTTTCTACGTCTTGTTTCCCCCCCCCATAAAGAAAAAAACATCCAGGCACGCTTCTTCGATTAATTTTTAATAAACAGATTACAATCCCCCCCGCCCTGCCTATTTGTAGTTTGGGGAAGCGATAGGGCAAGGGAGCCTGACCTGGGCGGGGGGGGGGGGGGGGAGGGGGAGAAAGCGGCTCGCTTCCTCACCATGTGTCTTCCTGCTGCCTTGCTCCACGCCCGCGGGGGCCAACACCTTCGCCGTGAAGGCGAGCCTCTTGGCCTTTGGGGGCGCCGGCGGGGGGGGGTGTCTTTGCGGAATCCCAACTTGGGCGCCACGGAATCCGCTCTTCGAGAGACGGGCGCTTCGTGCAGCTCGGCGGGGTGGGCCCGGGATGAGGCAAAGCCCTGGGGTAGAGCGGGCGCCCCGGATTCCTGCGCCCGCCTCCGCCGCCTCGGAGCGGACGGTTTTTTCCCCCATTGGAGGGGGGGGAAGCCCTTCAAAGAGATCCCCCTTGAAGATTTCCCCCTCATGAGCCCCTCTCCTCAACTCGTTACTACTTTCAGGAAAAAAGGGGGGCAAAAAGGAAGGGAAAGAAGAGGACCTTCTGGCAGTGAACCCCCGCACACAATGCCGCCCCCCTTGCTCTTATCCGCTTGTTATCCGCCCTGTTTTTTTGGGGGGGTTGATATTTTGCTTCCCTCCCTTCTATTTCCTGGACTTCCCCGCCACCCGCCGCGCTGCTTCAACACTCGGGCCGGTGCTTGGCGCGCCCTTCCCTCCACGGCTCATCTTGAACCCAGAACCATGAGGGGGGGAAGCGTGCTGTGAAGAGGAACGTGCATGCCACTGCCACATAATATGAACAACAAAGTGCATCTAGGTAGGGTCTAATCTTCTGTGTGCCTAGCAAAGAATGGAGGCAAAAATACAGTACTGTACATCCTCGCAAAGTCCTCGTTGATTAAAAAGAAATCAGTCCCATCCCTTTTGCCAGAGTAGACAACGAGGGAAATCAGGGGGTAGGAGGTGCAAGGGCTATTCCAATTCATACTTTGCAGGGGAAATACCATGGCCATGAAAGTGGGTTTTTTAGGGTAAAGCTTATTCATTGTACTTTGGGTATGCTGATCTTTATGATTTCTACAAAAGTGGAAAATTTTGTTGTGTAATTTGTGTTGATGAGGGATTGTGTTTATGATTTTTCTGCTGCTTTTAGAATCTCTTTATTCTTTGGATTCTGATTATTTTTACCAGCTTGTATTATTTAGGTTTGCAGCCATAGCACCCTTGGTGATGCTTTTAAAAAAAAATTTCCCTGTTGGAACATGTTAATTACATAAGATCTACCTTTTTTTAACCCCAAAAGGGGGGGAGAAAATGTATGCTGTTGGTATTGTACTTTGGGTATGTTGATCCCCACAATTTCTCCAAAGGTGGAAAACTTTGTTGCATAACTTGTGTTGCTGAAGGATTGCATTTGTGATTTTCTTGTTGCTTTTAGAATCTTTTTATCCTTTGGATCCTGGCTATTTTTGCCAACTTACATTATTTAGATTTGCAGCCATAGCATTCTTGGTGATGCTTTTTTAAAAAATTTTCCCTATTGGAACATGTTAATTACATAAGATCTACTTTTTTTAACCCCCAAAAAGGGGGGGAGAAAATGTATGCTGTTGGCTTTCCAGGAGGCAGATCCTAGAAAGCTAACAGCATACAATTTTTCCTTTACTTTTTTGGGATGTTATGTAATTAATGTGTTGGGAGGGGGGGAAGAATCGTCTTGCAAAGCATTGGTCAAAAAACCCATCTTTTGAAGCATAGACCAAAACATCGTCTTGTGAAAATCTTCCATAGAAAACATCATTTTGTGAGGTGAAGAAAGTAACATGAGGGAACTGCACCAAACCAGGGGAAGTGTCCCAAAAAACCATCTTTTGAAGCATAGACCGTCTTGTGAAAATCTTCCATAGAAAACATCATTTTGTGAGGTGAAGAAAGTAACATGAGGGAACTGCACCAAACCAGGGGAAGTGTCCAATCTTTACTCTCATCCTTTGTAGGAAGTATGAGAAAGAGAAAGCAGCACAAGACATCTCAAAGACTTGCTCCCTTTGCAATAGATCTGGTCAATAAAAACAAAGATTAAAATGATCGTAGAAGGACTGGGGAAACTGGAAATACAACACCCTGTTAACAACAAATTATGCAATTAAGTTTTCCACACTTGGAGAAATCATGGGGATCAACATACCCAAAATGCAATGAATAAGCTTTACCCTAGAAAAACCACTTTCTCAAGGCTGCCAGACTCAAAAAAGTTTGGGAACCACTGACCACCTAGCCTTATTAATAGAAACTTTCAAAAACCAGATTTTGAAAAGGAAGAGGGCGTAGCTTTCTGAAGAAAAGTTAGTACTGGAGCTTTTTTAATACTGGAGCTTTTTTACATATGTCGCAAATGTGAAAATGGGTTTGTTGGTTTTGATCCCTTCTGCTTTAGCTACAAAATTTTGAAAAGGAAGAGGGCGTAGCTTTCTGAAGAAAAGTTAATACAGTACTGGAGCTTTTTTACATATGTCGCAAATGTGAAAACGGGTTTGTTGGTTTTGATCCCTTCTGCTTTAGCTACAAAGGGTGGAGGTTTTAGAAGTCGCTAAGTAATCCTCTATGTTTACGTGGAAGCAGATCTCCCAGGTTTGTTTGTCCAGCCACCTGCAGAGTTATGCTGGCATATTCTCGCATTTATTATCCAAAGTGTATCAATGATCAGTGTTAGATTTTTTGTTTTTTAGAAGTGCAAAGGGTGGGTTATGGGTGGTGCATGTGTGGGAACTTGCAATCTTATGTCTTAATCCCAGATGAGAAGTTACAAATGTGTGTGTTACATACAGTCAAGTAGGAACTGAATGATAAGGTTAATAGGGTTTTTGAAGCACAATAGGACCCTTGTATCCAGGGAAGATCAGGTCCAAGTACCCCAAAAATGCTGATTATAGCTAATGCTATACATAACATGGCCTTTGGCTCCCTCTCGTGGCCAGTTCTGGTAATGACACTGTGAAAATATATTCCTCTCACAAACTACTGTATTACAGTGGGGTCTCTACTTAAGAACGTCCCTACTTAAGAACAATCCAACTTAAGAACAGCTCCATTTGCTAAATTTTGCTTCTACTTGAGAACAGAAATCCAAGAAGAAAAGGAAAAAAAACTTTTCCTGCTCTTTTTTTAACCTTAGGTCATCTTAGGTTAAAAAAAATTCTCCCCCTAGTGGTAGAGTACGTATTAACCAGCTTTGCATTAGTTCCTATGGGAACTAATGCTTCAATGTACGAACGCACCTCTACATAACAAAAAAACAGCCAGAACGGATTAATTGGTTTTCAGTCCATTCCTATGGGAAATTTTGCTTCAACTTAATTTATTTATTTATTTATTTATTTATTTGATTTTTACCCCGCCCCTCTAGACCATGTCTACTTAAGAACGTTTCAACTTAAGAACACCATTCCAAAACGGATTAAGTTCTTAAGTAGAGGTTCCACTGTATATACAGTACATAGCATAATTTCGGGCTCCTTCTAGGGTCAGTTCTGCTAACTTCATTGTTAGAAATATATACAAGGTTTTTCTTTCGATTTTTTTTAATATTTTCAGAGTGTGGATAAGTGAATCAGAGGATACCGTGGATAGGGGGATCCTATTGTAAATAGGATACGTTAACGAGTAGGTTCACATTTTCAACATGAAACAGCAGAGTGAGTTCTGTGAAATCTGTTGCTGTCCCATAATTAATCTAGCTCTTTCATTTAGGGAGGTGGAGTTAAGTGGAAGAACCACAAAGAGAGATGAGTAGGAAGATGTCCAGTTGTCTGTTCCAACTTTTTGCTGTGTCCATGTTCTTGGAAAACACACCCTCAAGAAATAGTGCAGAACTAAAATCATGTTCTGTGGAAATAATATATTGAAGGAGATGGGCAGCCAAGATGTTCCACACACACACACACATCTACCCATGGAGGTGTAAATATCCTTTTATTTGTAATGGAAAGGGATTTATGATGATAAAAGAGAAGGGGAAGCAGGCATCTTAAAATCAAAGCAAAAATTGTGCACAGTGTTCACACTTCAAATACAGTGGTATGATACTGCTCAGATGATGAATACTTGTTTGCTATCACTTTCGTTATACATATAATATTCCCTGAATCTGGAAAGCCTTTTGTTCTAAACATGCTTGAAGTGAACTCCTACCAAATTCAATAGGAATTACTTTTAACTAAACATTAATAGTAAAACCCACATAAACATAAACATAAATAATGTATGTAATTTTGCCAGCTATAGTGCAATCTAAAAATAGAGAAGTATTTTAAAATGCCACTGCTACATGTTTATAAATACTGTATTGTCATTCCCTTAAACACAACACAACCAAAAGTAACTGAGATCCATGTTCAGAAACAAAATGCTGAATTCACCCACACCCTGCTTTTGCCTTTTATCATTACTGAAATAATGAATAATTCCCAAATTAGACAGCCTATTAGCAAATAAATGTTTTATTGATTAAGCAGTAGGAACAATGGTGTTTTTGTATATCTGAAATGAACTGTATTTGAATTAATTATGTGGAAAAAAATAATTCAATGAAGGCATACACAGAGATTAGTGTATTTCATTTCATGCAACTGCAAATGAATTTTTTGCAGAGGCTTTTTCGGTGCAGATTTTTACTTGGTGCTGTCAGACAGAGCCCTTGGAAGTCCCCAGAGACGCATCCTACTTATACCTCCATCTGGGAAAATCGTAAGTCTCACGTGAGTAAACACATCCAGTATCTGTAAGGCAGCTCCATAAAAAAAATGCCTTTTGTGTGGGTTAAGCTGGGGGAGAGAAGAACATGATAAACCTGGAGCATCTGGATGCTGTCTTCATTATAATCATCTGCCATTACCCTCTGAACATTTCCATCCTATTGCCAGTTATGGAAGTTGCATGTTTGTAGTTGTCTTCTTCTGAAATGCATACCTTGTGTTTTCGGACACATTTTCACCATTATTAGTACACTAAAACAGGGGTCCCGAACCCCCGGTCCGCAGGCTTCCTTGAACTGGGCCGTGGACATGGATCTCTGCCCCCCCCACATGCATGCACAATCAGTGTGCCACACTTGCGGGTGGGTGTGTTGCGCAAGGTTGTGAGTGCAACACGCCCCTCCGCAAGTGTGACACGCCCACCCACATGCCTGACAAGTCACTCCGCAAGTACGACACGCCCGCCCATGAGTGTGACACACATACACCCGTGAGCACAGGGGTGACTGTGCCCCCCACGCATGGAGCCCGCACCCCCAATTGGTGCATGGTGTAAAAAAGGTTGGTCACAGCTGCACTAAAACACCAGTGGGGAAATTGTGTCCCACCCATGACAAATGTTGGGTTTCAGTCCTCATCACCTCCCACAAGCATGGCTGCTAGGTAGGGCTTATGAGAGATGGAGTCCAACCGGCTCTGTAGAGCCACAGTTTCCCCACTGGCGCATTAAAGGGAGCATTCATTGATCTTCAATTGATTCCGAGATTGCAAGTTTACCTTCATTGGAGGCAACAACGTAATCCATTTCGGACTGTGTTTCGGCATCCATTTTCGTGCAATACATTCTTTTTCTTCTTCTGTGCTCAAAACACAGGCTTCAAGTTTAAACGTATCCGGGAAGTTTCCTAATATTGAAAAAAGCAATGCATGCAATATAGAAATGCCTTCCTTCCTAGGGTGGGTAGATACTTTATTGAAAAAGTCTTCAGGCCACTTCAAATTCAAATACAATAAATACAAATTATTAACAAAAACAAAGCAAGCATTCAACTCATGAAAGGTTAAAAGTATAAAATATTAAAATTATTCTATGTAGGTAGTTAGTCAATTAATCATAATAAAATAAACTTATATGATTCCAGTAAAACCCCACTAGAGAAAGAAATATTACATGGCTCATTTAAACAGACAATGTTCATTCTGGATAGCTCAGTGGCTTAGGCATCTGGTTGGGAGTTCGATTCCCCACTATGGCTTCTTGACAAGGGCTGTACTCAATGATCCATTGGGTATCTCCTAGCTCTGCAGTTCTAAGATGATGATGATTGCTCTCTTTTTTCCTGAAAGTGGCTGCTTTAACTGCAAAGAGGGCAACCCTTTGTGTTACAAACTGATTGGATCCTTGCAAAAATAAGTTTGGTTTCTCCTCGTCCTCCCATTCTCTCATGCAGGCAAGGAAGAGGGCTAATGAGTGTTCTCTGCCGCTGAAATATAGCTGGCAATACAGTAAATAGTGGGCAAGATCTTCCACTTCAGCTATACTACATATGCAAAGTCTGTCTTCTGGATGCCCCCAGATCTACCTTGTCGCATCATTGTTTCCATTTGCTCAAAAGATGAGTGAAGGCCATATGTTAATCTTTTTTCATTGAGAAAGACAAGTATTTTTTTTCCTTTGAAATTGGGGTTTTAGCCCTTGCTAAGCATTTCATAGATCTCACAGATGACAAGTAAGCCATATACAACAGTGCTCTGATATCTAATATTATTTATTTGAAAACATTTCTCATATTGAAATTAAACAGTCTTACAGCCTCAACACTAAAACCATGATTTGACAGCCATTGTGAAAAATTAATGAATCAAGGTTTTTCTGTTGTTTTAATCACCTATTCATTCATACTTTGGGAAGCCTGACATTTGAACTATAATAACAATAATTTAATATCCTACGAAGGCAAAAATCTAGCAAAAAAATCCATTCCAAACTCAGCTCTAATCACGTGGGTTGGGAAGGTTCTTGACACTCCCAAGATCAAGCATAAAAATTGATTCTGTATCTTTTTAATTTTTTTATTATTGACAATTTCCCAGATTTCAGTGACAAAGATTAACATAGGCAACACCTTTGCCTTATACACCTTTGTAACTGGTTGGAGCAAGCCAGATACATATAATTCAACAGACTATTCAAAGTTTGAACATAGGCAGATGCTTTCAATTCATTCCTCTTTATCTGAGGAGACCATGGTCCAGTAGATGAAAAAATTATGCTCAAATAATTATACGATCCCACCTGTTCTATTCCTTTGGAGTCTAAAAACTGCTTACAACATTTTCTTGTTTTGCTGAAGATTACCACTTTTGATTTACTATTGGTAATTACCAAGTTATTTTGCTGACAATAAGCACTAAACTTTTTCAGCTTTCTTTTCATATCTACCTATGTTATAGAAAGTAGGATCATGCTGTCTGCATATAAAAGACAGTTAACCGAGCTTTCCAAGGATTTAGGCATATGAAAATGGAGACTATGCATGGCTGGAATTACTGTACATCAATGTAAGAAGTAAAGAGGAATAGTGCCAAAATGTAGTCCTTCAAACTCTTTTTAGGGATATTGTTTGTTAAAGTGCAGTTTACACCGGTTCCAACTTGTAGACTTGTGTCCTGTTGTGTCTACAAAAGCCTTTGGAAGGAGGAGAAGTCTTCTATCGATAAAAATGTAAAGGTTCCTCTTGACAATTTTTGTCCAGTCGTGTCCGACTCTTCCCTGTTTCCAAGCCATAGAGCCACTGTTTGTCTGTGGACAGTTTCCGTGGTCACGTGGCCAGCACGACTAGACGCGGAACACCATTCCCTTCCCACCGTGATAGTATCTATTATCTACTCGCATTTTACATGCTTTTGAACTGCTAGGTTGGCAGGAGCTGAGACAAGCGACGGGAGCTCACTCTGTCGCATGGATTCGAACTGCTGATCTTTTGACCTTGCAGCCCAGAGGTTTTGTGGTTTAATCCGTAATGCCACCACGTCAACCATACTATCAATACTTGTCTCCAAAAATTTCTCTTAAAAGATTTCTATTTATTGAACCAAAAGCAGCATTTAAATCAATAAATGTATTATAGAGGTGTCCACTCCTGGCAGTGTATCTTGTTACCATATGCAGCAGAGTGAAACAATTATCAATAACAGAACTTTGCTGCCTAAAGTGTACCCACTCATCTGCTAAGAAGGAAATGTGGTCTTGCCTGTTCAGGTGGCATGAAATCCTTTCCTGGCACTTTGTTATTCTTTAATGACTGTATTGGAGACTTAATTTCAGACATGGTGACAGGAGGCTGTTGAGGGATATCATTTATGTTCACAAGAGTTTTTCCCCCACAAACAATGCTCTGTCAGCTTTTATCTTCTCTCTGAATAATTCTGAAAAATTTTTCCCAAGCTGAGGCAAATATAGGTATTCCAAAGTTATGCCAAAATTGACCCCAACTTTCTGACAACTAACTGCCAAAACTGTGCTGAGTTTTGGTTTGCAGCCTCCAGTCCCAAATACACCCAACTTTTAGCAGCATAACTGGCTTTTTTTTTTTTTTTTGGCTGTAACTACTGTACTTTTTGATTCCCTTCTAGTAATGAGCATCTGTCTTCAGAAGAGATATGAACTCTTCTCATTTGTTTCCTCAAATGCTTCTTTAGTCTACAATACAGTGGGGTCTTGACTTGAGAACTTAATCCGTATTGGAAGGCAGTTCTCAAGTCAAAAAGTCTGTAAGTCAAGTCTCCATTGACCTACAGTGCATTGAAAACCGATTAATCCCGTAACAGGCCGTTTTTGTTCCATTTTGGTTTTTTTCTGGTCTGTAAGTCAAATCTCAGTCTGTAAGTCAAACCTAAATTTTGCAGCCAGAGAAGTCTGTAACTCAAAAAGTCTGTAAGTCAAGCCGTCTGTAAGTCGAGGGTCCACTGTATTCCACAACAAACCAGGGGGGCTCTTTATTTCTAAAGCCATTTGCTGTAACCTAAAATAATAATAAATTTACCTTTGGAACAAATATCTTTACATGCACCCAAGACATGATTAATGTTTGCCTTTGGAGAGCATATTATATACTTCCTAGGGCATGACTGACATCCATTTTTTTAAAAAAAAAATGAGATTCACCACATCCACTTGCTGCCATCTTAATCTCTTTTTTTTCCTTGCACTATATCCAGAAGATGAACACCTGCTTGTCTACCTGTGTTGCTTTTCTAAAGTCAGATTCAAGAGTTAGCTGTGTGAATATACTGTGGGTTGATGATCATCATTGTCTTCTCTAATGTTTGCTGAGATGCCAGAGAAAGTACAGATTTTTTGACTTCACGTGCAAATGTATTTAATAACAATACCTGCAGTGTGGGTAAAATATATACATGGATAAAATAATATGTAGTCGCTAGGGCCAATAATTTGTAGTCCAAATATAAACAACAATCCCAGCTATTTTTGCCCAACTTTGTTAATTTTATCATCACTAGAGAGCCAACAGAACATCTCTTGAAGTTTATTCTGAAGTCCCCATAGCTCTGCAAGTTTTGTGGGAGATAATCTAACTGCAGCATTAAAACCACCTGTCCATCAAAGTACTCTACACAAACAACATCCTGAAAATTCAGTACCCTTGGAAAAGCCTCATTTGAGATAGCCAAAAAGTGTACTATATGGTTATGGTTGCTTGAGATAATTAAAAAACAACAACAACCTAGCTTTTCAGGGATCCTAACGAAGTTCCAGCTAGTACTCATATCCTTGTTTCCTGAGACAGTGCTCATCTGGGACTCTGTTCAGCTTCCATCTCAAAGAAAAGGGATTGTTCTCCCACAATCCCCAGATTTGCTACTGACTACTTCTTCCTTTGGGCCCTGCATCTGTCCTGCACTGGAGGCCTTAGCAGTTCATATTCTCATTCCATTTTCTTTTTCTATCAGCTACAAGTTGATAATTTTATCATGATTGCAACCTTTCTCCCCTCCCCCACCACCCCTATTTTTCTTGCATTAGAGGTTGATTTGTTGTCTAACCATTTAAACAACCTCTCTAGATCATTTTTCTGTCAGCATTGAGCTTTTTTAGTCCTCTTTCTTATGTTAGTATTTTTACTTTTCTTTTGTCTTTTACCTTCCCCATTGAAAACCACTTTATTAATTTCTAGAGTATGACTCATTGAAGTTTGCTTGCTTGTCCTCATAGCTTGAGCAAAAACTTGAAAGCTACCTGCATTATAAAACTAACTCACTGGACATCAGTACATTTCATTAAATGTCTACAAACTCCAAGCAGGCAAGGCTGATCATGCTGTTAGGATAATACTTGGGAGAAAACCTGGTGATCAGTGTCAGCTTCCTTTCCTTCTCTTACACCTTCTTTTTCCTTGAACCTGGACTCAAGTAAGGTCCTTGACAGTAAAAGGTAAAGGTTCCCCTTAACAATTTTTGTCCAGTCGTGTCGGACTCTAGGGGGCGGTGCTCATCCCCTTTTCCAAGCCATAGAGCCGAAGACAATCTTCTGTGGTCACATGGCCAGTGCGACTTAGACACGGAACGCTGTTACCTTCCCACCGAAGTGGTCCCTATTTATCTACTACTTGTATTTGCATGCTTTCGAACCGCTAGGTTGGCGGGAGCTGGGACAAGCGATGGGCGCTTACTCCGTCACGTGGATTCAGTCTTACGACTGCTGGTCTTCTGACCCTGCAGCACAGGTTTCTGCGGTTTAGTCTGCAGCGCCATCACGTCCCTTGACAGTAGAACTTCTTTAAAATTGGTTGCTTTTGGTTTTGGTTAGTTTACTTATCCTCACAAACCGATAGCAACTAATTCCTCCAATATTCAAACAAACACATATTCAAGGTTTTACTTGAGAATTTTCCAGCTTGATTAATAAGCAGTCTCCAGTCAGATTAAAGATGTCCAAATCACTAGGCACTCAGCCAGACACAGGAGTGAGTGAGGGAAACTAGAGAGGAACAAAACAAGGGCCCAAATCATTAGGCACTCAGCCAGACACAGAAGGGGAGTGAGGGAGGGAAACTAGAGAGGAACAAAACAAGGGAAAATTCCAAGGTACCATACGTGAAATAAGAATAAAAACAGGACAGCAAAAGGAAAACATGTCTGGCTATGACGCCACCATCTGTCTTCCTCCTTACTCTGCTGATGCTATGCTGATGTAGTTCCTTCCTATAAATTAGGATTGCAATTTTGTGCATGTGTCCTAGGGTAATAACTCCAACTGAACTCAATAGGATGTACTTGTGAAGGGACGTGGTGGCGCGTGGGTTAAACCGCTGAAACCTCTGTGCTGCAAGGTCAGAAGACCTGCATTCGTAAGATCGAATCCACGTGAAGGAGTGAGCCCCCGTCACTTGTCCCAGCTCCTGCCAACCTAGCGGTTCGAAAGCATGCAAAATGCAAAAATGGGAGTAGATAAATAGGCATAAGGCTGTACTCTAACTGCATAGGACAAATGCCACTGAATGCAGTGAGATGTGTTTGCAAGTAAGCATTTGCTGGTTCATGCTGCACAGGGTATTTTCATAGCTAAAATTAGTAATTAGTGTAACAAAGGAACCTTAATTAGCAGAACAAAATGTACCAGAAGAGTGTTATGCCTAAGTTTTAGAAACCATTTTGATGACAACGTGCTATTCAAGGATTTCTACAAAGAGAGAGGATTAAAATGGCCACAAGGCTGGCAATCATTTACCTTGAAAGTGACTGGTATCTATTTCTACGTGTGTTATTACTCCTGCATGGCCCATTCGAAAGACGGCCCATTCGTTTCCTAACGTAAGGAGAATGCCGTCGTCATCCACCTAGAAAAGAAGAAAAAAGGAAATTGTAATGGGCTCCAACCCCTCTCTTCCATAGAAACCTGGAGCATGACTCACAGGGCAGGCACTAGCGTCCACCTCTGGAAAATCTCATCATCCACCTAGGAAGGAAGAAAAAGGAAATTGTAATAGGCTCCAACCGCTCTCTTCCATAGAAGCCTGGAGCATGACTCACACGGCAGGCACTAGCGTCCACCTCTGGAAAATTCTGAAAGGCCTCAGTAGATCCCTGTTTTCTTTCCTCCCGTCTGTCCCGACTGTCTTGTCCTCAGGCAAGAGGATGGTAAATTAAAGGGAGTGGGAGGAAGTGTATTTATTTGCAATTCTCCATGAAGTCGTATCTCTTAGCTGAAGTAATTTGAATTAGGGAAAATGGAAGGAGACTGAGATGAGAGGATACATGGACAACAGAGTCCTGTGGTTCTCTGATTCTTCTGTATTCATATTCTAACTGCATAGGACAAATTCCATTGTCATTCAGCTACACTCCTCTGGGTAAGCAGATGGTTAAGACAAGCACTAAGAGGATTTTATTTTCCTGAATCCACCAGCGTTTGCTTCTTCACTTTTGCGTAGAATATGTGCATGTGTGTTTCTGTCTGGAAGAGACTGGCAAATTTCTTTCAACCAGGTAGAAGAATGAAAGAAATATTGGTGATTAAATGGTATGAGTTCTGGATTTTCACTTATCATGGAGATCAGTAACTCACCAGTGATGCTATGTATAATTAAATTCCTCCCTCAGAGTCACCAAAAACACACACAACAACACTGTCCAGTAAGGTTCCTGCTAAGCTGGGTGCACATACGCGCATGACTCCACTTCCCTCCATGCACCTCTTTTTCTTTTCTGCGCAACGATCATGTTAGGTTCTGGTTGTGACACCACCCAGAGTGTGGGGGGGGGCAGAGTCACATGTGCACATAGGGGCGAAGCCATGAGAGAGAGAGGTAGAATCCCCTCCCCCAGCAGGGCTAAAAATAAGAGGGTATGTTGCTCTCCAGTTTGTGAATGTGAGATATTGTGCTTCTATATCCACAATTCAAAATGCCAGGAAATGGTCTGATATTGCTGCACAATACTGTGCCTGCATTGCCAGCAGGAAAAAAGGATGCCAAGTTTTACATAGCAAAGGGCAGCCTGAATGTTGACAACACCCATGGCAGAACTCAAAATAGTGTACAGCAGCCATTCTCAATAGGAGTGGGGGGGCCCAATGGCTCTCTGGAGACCCTGGTACCTTTGAAGATGGACACAGACTGGAAATAATTCTTCACGCACCACATTATAAGGTTTGTTATTTGACTTCTATAATCCTGAGTGGACCTCTATTTCTTTCATGTTTTGTTTATGGTTGTGGCCAAACAAACGGGTTAAAATAGCTGATCTACAGGATACTCTCTTGTGTTCACTACCACTCACAAAATGACACCAAAAGGGGGGGGGGATTCCAGAAGCTGACTCCTTTTTTCATCAATGAACCACTTCTCAACCAAACACAAAGCAATTGTCAGGAATGTCTTGTGACAAGTATGAATGTGGTGCTGAAGGAGAGTTTAGTGAATACTCTGGACTGCAAGAAAGGTGATCGAGCAGGTGCTAGATCAAATCAAGCCTGAACTATCTGGAGGCAAAAGTGTTGAAGCCGAGGCTGTCCAACTTTGGGCACATCAGAAAGTAGGATTCTTTGGAAAAGGCCATAATGCTAGGAAAAGTTGAAGGCAACAGGAAAAGAGGAAGACCAAATATAAGATAAATTGACTCCCTAAAGGAAGCCACAGGCTTGAGTTTTCAAGAGTTGAGAAGGACTGTTGAGGACAGGGCATTTTGGAGGTCACTCATTTATGGGGTCACCATAAGTCAGAGGTGACTTGATGGCATGTAACATCAGTGTTGTATGAGTTATTTTAACTCATTTATTTCTTACTTTTAAAACTGGTGGCCTTTCCAAATTTCTTCTTGTTTCCCATCCATCTTTCATGGACTTTGCTCTGCCTATTCCTATCCAAACAGAAAGTACATTATATTTAATACAGAGAAATTCAACATGTTAACTATAAATAATTTGTTTTTATTTTTATGTGTTTGGTAAGAGGAAAGAGATCGGCTCTTGTCTGAATTTAGTAGAGCTAGCAACTGATTAAATAAAGCTAGATGACTGTATAAGTTTTAATCGACTGGTTAATTATTAATTTGCTTAAATCAACATCAATTTGACTAGGAACAAAACAAATATAAATCCATAGTCAAGCAAAGACGTGTCCTATCATGGAAGCAGGATTTCAAACTGAGGACATCCTTCTTCATCCTCTAGGAACTGCTTTTACATTGACTTGAATTGGTTTACCTCTAATGTATAGAATGATTTTCATTCCAGCTTGTCTGAGATGGGATTTGACATGTTTCTGTGCACCTTTACTGCAAGTCAAAAAGGAACCATGTATTTCCTTAGAAGGCCATGGTCATTCATGATGCTGAATGACTGGCAATCTTTTGTCTAACAAGATTGAGAAAGACATTCTAATCCACATCACCAGAGATTAAATCTGAATTTAAAAATTTTTTAAAACAGAGGAGCCTGGCCAGCACATAAGGCTATGATATTTGACATTTTTATATTTCTTCTGCCCCTCCCCCAGCTCTGTGGTATCCAAGCTGATGAAGACACATGTAGCATGAAAAAACTAGCCTATGTTTATGATTTTTTTAGTGGTCTAATAAGAAGATAACTGACCCTTGCCTTCAGATTGCATACAAGGATCACATGGCTTTTTCCATCCCTTTTTAAAATTGTTTTGAACAACTGTTTTCATGTTAGGTCTTGGCGGTCAGATCCTTTGATTTTAACATGCTGACCGCTGGATTTCAAAATATTACCATATTCTACTTACTGACTAAAATCTTCTTCATTTTCTACACAACTGACATCATTTTCGCAGCCAAATAGCTTCAAGTTAATAAATTGCTGTAGACATTGCAAGTCAATATGCAAGAAACCCAATATGCAACAAATAATGTCTATGGTTAAGTTAAGGCAAGGTGCCTTCAAAAGCTACACCCTTTACCTTATGTCAGCATTACGAGGCAAGAGCCTTTGAGCCATTGGATGAAGTGGGACTCAAAAGAGTAGCTATGAGCAAAGGTACAGTATTAGTCTTACCTAAGATATTTCGGGGATGACCCAACTGAGCATCACTGTATCCAACACAAACACCCCCGTTCACCATTGCAGCCAAATCACTGAGTTGATTTAAGCCAGAGAGTGTCCAGTCTCTCAGCATTGTGCCATATATTTTTAAACGTGCAATCCCACCATCTGGGGAGGGGGGAGAGAGAAATAAAATTTTAGATTCTGACTTTATATGCTGGAGTCGCGCGCACACACGCATTTTAAACTGATATAGAACTCACTGCCAGCCCGTGTGGCCTTGGGCAAGCTGCAGAAGTCTCAGGGCACTCTCAGAAGGGCATGACAAACCACTTGTGAGTAGTCTCTACCTAGAAGAACCCTGGAAAGGGTCGCCATGAATCAGAATTGACTTCATGGCATACTGTTGTTCTTGTTGTTAATATTTAAAAAACACCAGGCATCGTCAATCAAAATTATAAAAACATTGACTGATTAAAAAAACACCAGGCACCGTCAATCAAAATCATAAAAACATTGACTGGTGTTATACAACAGATACAACTTGTAACTCCAAAACCTAAATATCTGTTAAATATCAGTGCAGTATGCATGCTGTTCCTAATAATGCCAATTCTTGTAGCTCTGGTGGTGGTGTGGTTTCTGATATCTGCAACTGCTTGATTCTTGTAGCTCTGGTGGTGGTGTGGGTTCTGATATCTGCAACTGCTTATGGTACTGCGTGAAATTTCTTGATATTGTTCCCAAAGCCCTGATGACTATGGAAACCACTGAAGTGTGTTTCTTCCAGAGGTGAGATATTTTGATTGCCAGGTCTCTGCACTTTGTTAGTTTTTCCAATTCTTTATTTTCAACTCTAGCATGCCTTGGAATTGCAGTGTCATTGATCCAGACATTTCTCCATTCTATGACTACTATGTCTGGTGTGTTATGTTCAAGGTGTCTATCTGTTTTGATCCGGAAAACCCACAAGACCTTGACATCGTCATTTTCTGAAAGCTTCTCTTATCCAATGATCTCATGGCTTTGTAGAGGCTGGCAAGTTATATTTTTTGCATAATGGCCAATGCACTAATTTTGCCACTGTATCTTGCCTAACTTTGTAATCTGTTTGTGCAGTTTTTGGGACATTTGCGGATGAGATGTGACACAGTTTCATCTTTTTTTATTTATTATTAGTGTTGTTGTTGTTGTTGTAGATGGGCATGAACTGCCAGTTCAGCAATTTGTTTACTGGCCCCAGAGGTGGTCTGTGGTTTCACACCCTGATGCCTCCGGTGGGCACCCACTCAGAGGCAGCACCCAGAGTAGGTGAGACAGGGAAGCCGGGATGCTGCCTTTGAGAGGGTTGTCCGCTGGAGGAAACAGGGTGCTGAGCCACAGAAGACCTGTGGGGCTGGTAAACAATGGACGACTCATGGCTATCTCTAATTATTATTATATTAAAGAAGAGAGAATGGTGGTAAGGAATGAATGGGAGTAAATGTGGCCATGTATGCTTCAGTATAACTGGGAATAAAGATTTGCAGGAAAGATGGAGGGACTGAAAAAGAGAAAGATGAACTGTAAAATAGAGGTGGGGGGGAATGGCATGCTCAATAAATATTTAGCATCCAGCATTGCAGTAGGTAGTGCTACTTTTTTTTATTGTTTGGCCACTATTCTTCACATTATTCTGTTGTGTTTTGTTTTGTCCCAAAGAGAATCTGGAAGTGCTTTGCATATAGATCTTCATTGAGCTGTTGTAATAAAGCTTGTTACAACAATATTTTGTTATTCATTTTCTTACTGACAAATATAATCCTTTTTCTGAGAGAGAGAGGTCCAATCTGTGGAACAATTTGTGGGAAAGATGTAATGCAGAGGTTCTTGTAGCAGCTTCATGTAATGCAGTGAAATTAAAAACACTCAGGCCTGCGACACCCTAGAGGCTGGATATGCAGGATAGTGGCATGCCAATGCAGGGTCAACAAGCCCAAGGACTTTGCCGCAATAATGGAGCTACAGAACATCCGTATTAACTTTAAAAGCAGCCGTGCCAAGGCAAAGAGCTCCCTCAGATGTCAACTTGGGAAAGGATATTGATTTATAAGTGCTAGTTCCTGCAAGGACTGGTGCATAGCAGTCCTTAACAGGAAACCACAGGATCAGTCTGAAAGAAAGGAGATACTGGAAAAGGACAGATGAGTGCATTAATGCCAACACTTGATCTGGCTTTATTACTGGAACCATTAATGCATGAACAGCGTCTAACAGGCCTCCGTCTCATTTTGTAATGGCCGGGGGGGGAGGGAATCCCCTTTGCTCACACTTCTGTTAACAACTTCTCCGGTTCACTGTCTTTTTAAAAAGACACAGGTTTGTTTCTGCTCCGTCCTGGCCAATTTAGGCTCACCAATACACATATTCACGTGCATAAATACACTTACACAGGGAAGCACTAATGTAAAACATGGGTATGAATATAATACAATTCCCCTCATAGGCAGGAGCAACTGGTGCTATTTGTGGGTTCTAATTGATGGGACTGAAGGCAAAAAAACCCACCTTTATTAAATAGGTCTTTATACAGATCTTACCTGGATATATGTTGAGTCTTAGGTGAGTCCATCTTTGCTTCAAAGTCACAACAAAATAATTCTGCCAAGTGTCAAGATCTCCTGATTTTATCTCTGACACAGGAACCAAGAAAGTCCATTCATCTGACCTCATCTGTAAATAGACATGAATTAGTTCCTTTCATGGCAGTGATAACCTTATATGAGTTTCTTTTTAACGCACACCAGACCTAATATCCAAGGTGGTCCTAGATATTCCCATTTTTTAAATTGCCTTTGCAGTGGCCATGATGTGCTTCCTTTTCCATTGGATTTGGTTGTCATTTAATATGAATTTACCTTGATTTAGTTATTTTGAAGGTTCTGAAATAGTCTTGAGAATATCATAAATACCCGAGTGCAGCTAACCCTATTGGCCAAAATTTCATTTAATTAATCATAATACTTAATCATACTTCTTAAAAATCACATAAGAACAATCGTGCACCCTACCACACTCTGCAGGTTCTCCTTTGTGCACAGTGGTTGCCTAACTGCACACACGACTAATGATGCAACTGACCACATGAAGGACAAACACTGGTGGGAAACAAAGAGACACTGCACAACTGCTCTTATGCAGATTGTTTGTTTGCTTTGTTTTTAATTAGATTTTGGGCTCCTGTTTCTTTTTTAGGGCACCTAAAAGACAAGGGCATCTAATTAGTCTTCCTTTAAAAAAAAGAATGGAACTCGGACCACATCCCTACTGTGTGTGTTCCATTAGGCAGATTTGTTTGCTGTGCTTAACAAACTTTGCTAAGATTTACAGGAAGAGTGCATTTTGAGGAATACCGTCATCTTGTGTGTGCGTGTGCTTGAATATAAGTTTCACCAGTTAATGAGCCAAGTGACGGAAGCAGTAAAAAGCAATAGGGCTTCCTTTACAATGGGCAAGCATTTGAGAATGCTGAAACAATTCGGAGGTGAAATTGTCCCTTTCTCACAGAAATGTGCAACTTGTTGCCAAAATGAGCTTCTGAGTGGTAGGTTTGGAAGGTAAGTATTCAATACTGTACTAAAAAAAACCCTGGTGGAATGCAATATTGATGCTGAAACTGAAAATGTAGGACACTAAGTTTTTCTGGCAGTGCATCTCTATGGCTTCTAAGAAACCAGGCTACATCAACCTTCTGAGTTTGAAGCATATCAATAAATATGTAAGTGTGCTAAGGGGACTATGCATCAAACACAAGGCCCCTCAAGCAGACCTGTTGCCTCTCTGGAAATTCCAGACACCCTCAGCTTGGGACCTTGTCTCACAAGCAGAGTTCAACACAAAGCTGTTAAAAATCAGGACAGTGATTGGAAATATTTCCTGTGTGTTTATACACAGGAGGGAGAAGTAACCAGTGCGATCAAGATTCTAGTGTTGAGTTCACCATGAAAAAGGATTACTTGGGTCAAAATTGTATGGCTCTGAACCGTACACACAATGCTGAGTCGCACTTGAGGGGGCTACTTCAGAGCTTGCAAAAGGTTTCCGGTACCTCCTCCTGCAAGCATATCTCCAGGGCTTCTTTGAATAATGATTTGTGGAGGACAGAAGGGAAAGCCAGCCAGCCTGGAATTGCAAGCAAGAGCCAACAGCCTTGTGGGAAAAGAGAAAAAGGGCCCTAAATGCTCCTTTTTGGAGATCAATGCTCCTTTTCTCCACCAAAAAAAGAAAATATATATATCTTTGCCTCTCCATCCCAAAAGCTGTCACCACTGATTTCTGATTCCAGGCCTTGCTTGGTTTCTGTCGTGGGCTCTTCCATCAGCTATGCAAAACTCTGAGTGTAAGTAACCGCAAAGCAAGCCGGAGACGGCTGGAGTTCCACAGACATAACATTTTACTCCATCTACATTGAAAAATACTGACCACCACTTTGTTTTTTAAGTTTAGAATACAAGGCAAATGAAGGCGGACTAGAGAGATGCACATCAAAGTATAAATGATTTGCAGGCAGCAGATGGGGAACTGTTCTAGTCTCTCTCTCTCTCTCTTGTATCAGGCTTAGCCGTGAAAAGCCCAAGAGCAGAGGCTTAGGTGGCCTATAAAAAGAAGGGCTTTGTCACACAACACACCATGCAATGATGGAATTTCCTACCACAAAAGATGTCATGATGGTCACCAGCATGGACCACTTGAAAGGGAGAGTAGATATATTAATTGGAGTTGTGACGGCTATATATTGTCTCCACTGTCAGAAGCAGTAAGCCCTTCGGTACCAATTGCAGGGCAACAGCTGGGGTGGGGGATGTGCCCTTGCACTCGTATCCTGCTAAGTGGAGGCTTGCTGGAACTGTGTGCCTGCCAATGTATGTACACAGGCTCTCTTGCAATCAGGAATTGCAGTCATGATGGAGACCCTCCTTCCCAGATATCACAGGAAGGGGAGACAACAAAAGGGCATTGGGTCCGGAAAAGAGGATTATCTCCATGCATGGAATGATCACATGGAGAGGAGACAGGACAAGAGCTAAGATCTGCTAAGCTTTGCTTCATATCCCTTCTTGGTGGAATGAGAGGCATACCATGTTAAGTCTTTGTTTCTCTAGCCATAGGGTGTAGAGTAGACCCTTTTGTGTCACTCCCTGTGTGAACCACTGAGAGAGCGAAAGCCATGTGTGCTGTTGCCACCTGGCTCAGGAAAGTGGAACAGGGATCAAGGGGAAGGGAGTGCAAAAGCAAAAAGAAATAGACTAAAAGAGGAAAAACAGGGAAATGAGATGGACGTTGCAGAGAGAAATGGCAAAACAAGGGGCAAGATGAGGTATACTGGGACACAACCGGCCTTTCTTTACCCTCATTGGTTGTCCTTGCTGGCTGCCTTCATTGGTTGTTGCCGGTCACATAGTGTAGCATTCTCTTTTTATTTGATCTATGGTCTATGTTATGTGATATGATGGTTTATGAATATTAATGTTGCAGAGAGGCGGAGCCTAGACAGATGCTATAAGGGGCGGAGCCTGAGTCAATATTTAAGTCAGTATGTGAAGTTCAAGTCAAGAGTGTGAGATGAAGTGAGTTTAAGTCAGATTGAGTCACTGAGAGTAGAGTCAGGGTGTGCAAGAGAATGTGTAGTTTGGGGGATTTAGATGTGATTCACTACTGAAGATACAGTATTTATGAATCTCTGTAATTAATAAATCAAAGTTTTATCTGAAAGAACTTGAAATGTGGACCTGAGTCTTTCTGAACACTACTGAAGAAATTTATGAATCTATGTAATCAATAAATCAAAGTTTTATCTAAAAGAACTTGAAGTGTGGACCTGAATCTTTCTGAGGTAATGGTGATTTAGGGATCACCTGGTGGCAGCAAGTGTAAAAGGAGAGAGTGTTTGCCTTCGTGTGCTCTGGGGGCTTGAAGGTCAAGCAAAGGGGCACGAGGGTGGACGTCACACATGGGATATTCAGCATCAGCCCACTGAAACCAGTCCCACTTGTCCCTACCAACTCTGGTGCTATTTTACACCCACGCTTGTGACAGCTGACTGTGTTCTGCACCTACCCTTGGCAAAACACGATACTAATTCAAAGCAAAGATATCCAAAGCAACACGTCCCTGCAGTTTCATTGAACAATAGCAATAGGAAAGGGGGGGGGGGCGTGATTTGATGTTTTTTTCTACCCAGGAGTCACTGTACCTCCTTGACAACCTTACACTCTTCATCTGAAGCTGCGGTTCCTATCCTGTTACCTCTTGGTGGCAGTGCTGGTACCTCTCCTGCAAAGACAATTACGTCAAAGAGAACAGAGAATAGATAATTGTGACAAAATTCTACCTTCTTTAGAAGTCTGCCTAAAGAAAAAGAAACAAATGGCTTAGAACAGGGGTGTGGAGCACTTCGTCCTCTGGATGAGGCATTTTCAATTTCATTGCCCGGAAGCCAGCAGGGTGAATGTAGAGGCTATAATCCAAAACACTGGGAAAGTTTTAAAAAAAACTCTGTACCCCAGCTTAGAATTGCTATGGTCTCTCTAGGTTTTTATACCAGAAATGGAATATCTGCCAGGCTTCCCCAGGCCTTAAGGCTAGGAAAAATATTATTTTGGGTCAAGTCAGATGTGATATTGGAAATGTGTGAGTGTAAATCTTATGTCTGCCCCACCCCCACCCAACGCCAAAGAGTGAGTCTTCATTGGAATGAGGGATATTTATATATGAGTGGTTTGGTACTACAATACTACATTTATACTGGAGCAGAAACTAGTCTACCTTTCTTTGATGAGAGATATCAACGTGACCTTGCCACCAAGTGAGACCTCACAACTGGCAACACTGGGAGAGAGGCAAGGAGACCAGTGACACCAGAGGGGGGGGGAGTGCTGGCATATCGGCCCCTCAGTGTGAGCATACCGCCTCTCCCTCTGGGTGACACCTTGGGGGGAGAGAGAGAGAATCCTTGGAGGGTAGCCTGGACTAGCTGACCGGATTGGCGGGTCAGTGAAAGGAACTGAGACCTCCCAAGAGACAAAAGCATGGCGGTACCTTAAAAAATAACTGCTCTAATAGATTTCATGGGCAAGTCCACATCCTCAGACATAAAAGACAGCACAGATTAACATGGTTACCTCTTCTAAAACCAGAGAGTGGCAGACCCATGGAGAGAATGCAGGACCAGTGCAGGAAACAAGATTTCCTGACTCTGCATACAGTCATTTCTTACCTTTTCTTCCTGATCCAAGTTCCAATAAACCTCATATATTCCTTTCCAACTGATGGTGTGGATCCATGGATGGAAGGCGGGAACCTAGCTGAGGCTACTGGGACTGGCAATATAGCATCAGGGTTTCTGCCTTCTAGATAAGATTTTAAGGTCTTCCTTACCTGGCTGCAAGCATGCAGCTTGGACTGATATTTTAGGAGCGCAGTTTCCTTCTAAGTAAGATGTGTCTGCCTCAATCCCATAAATAATGCCGGGCACTCCCAGTTGAATGATGCACCAGTCATGACCTTTAAAAAAAATGTTGGAAGAAAATGACATTAGTATATGCATAAATTAGCATATACAGTGAAGAAATACCTTTATCAGTGGGAATGTAATGGAGAAAGAACTAGGAGAGAAATGCAGGGGAAATCCAAGTGGGGGTCAGATTGAGCCTCAAAGATAAAATCTTCAGATCCTGGTCACAGGAAGGAAATGTTATGTAGTTATCCACCAGTTGTGTCTGTATTTCTTTTCCTGGTGACACAACACAGAGTTAAGACTGAGACATTTTCCCAGCTAGCGGTGTAACTGCAGAACATTTCCCCATCACCAGGAGGGTTGTGTTATTTTGTACCTTGCACCGATGCATTCTTTACCGGGATTGCCTGTGTGCACGACCTGCCCACCTTTTTTTCAGAATCGAAGCCAGGAAGGTGGCCGCCATTACTGCAGCACGCACATTATTTTTATAAAACAAAAAATGTGCCCAATTCATCAATACATTGGTAAAAGTATGTTGCGGGCGGGGGGAACGCCATTACATTACTGGCAAGTTTGTTTGTTTGTTTTCCTTGTGGGAAGATACATTGAAATGTAGGTATGCCGATGTCATGGGGGGGGTGATCGCCAGCACTGCTGCGCGGAGATACCATGTCTCTTGTGTGCAGTCCATTTCTGTAGAAGCAGCCAGTGCAACAGAGCGACACTTTCCTAAACAGAAACCCCTTTCTGAATGTCATGGGGGGGGGTGATCGCAGCCAGTGCAACAGAGGTTTCCTAAACAGAAACCCCTTTCTGATCAATGTTCCCTCTACAGTAATTTCCACCCCCCCATGTGCAAGTTTGCACCCACCCCCAAGTGGTGTTCCATTGCAATCAGAAGCGAAAGGGGCTCGAAACAATAGCTGTGGGTGTACTGGGAAGGAGGAAAGCTGTCTAGAGGGGGCTGAGTCAAGCACGCCAGCATATAACAATTCAAATAGGAGGAAATGAATCGGTATTGCTAAAAGTTCTTGGGACGTTCATCCTGGGATATAAACCATGTGACCATGATTAAGTACAAGAGAGATATGGGAAGTATCGGAAGAACTAGAAAACCTTTCCCATTCTGTGACCTCTCTCCCTGATAAATGGGCACACGTGTGGCTCTTTCTATTCTTTTGGTATAATCAGAAAGAGCTGTGTGGTATTGTGGGGAATAATGAGACTATTTTTATGATCTTTATTTGCAGTATTTATTTATTTATACCTTTTCTCCGAGTACAAATAATGTAATGGGCAACCTCAAACCAAAATAAGCTTAACATGAAGCAAATCCACTTGAAATTGTGTGGTACTGGTATCCTTCCAGATGTTTCTGGACTGCATCCCCCATTATTCCTCATCTGTGGCCAAACCAGCTGCATCTAAAAGGATTCAGAATCCAGCAATATTCTTATTGGATAGCTGGAGGGCCACAGGCTCCTCACCCCGGGTTAAAAGTCAACATAACTGTCTCAATGGTTGTTCATATGTATTTCCGATCAAGGCCAAGTGTATGATTCCAGGAGTACTTAAATGGGTGAACATGTGATAGATTTCATCCGCCTTTCAAGCACCATCCTATTGAAAATGGAATATCTTTTACAATTTGTTGTTGACTCTTTTAAATGCAAGGTACTCCACATTTATAAACTATTGTTGTTTAGAGGGTTCCCCCCCCTTAACTCCTTAGATGACATTATGAGATTAAGTCATAAATAATAGGCAAAAGTTCAAATTCAATTACAGTATTTGAGCTGAGCCTATTAATTAATTTGTTCATTTTATTTCTATTGTACCATTTCCCTCACAAACAGGTGATATTAATCGGTCAATAAGAACTTCTTGCTGGCCCATAGTTTTGCTGGCAAAAATCATTCTAACAATGAACATTGTTATTGACGCAGTTCAACCTTTACATAACTTGACTTCCCTCTGGCCATTAACATCTTACCTTTGTCTCAAATTTGTAATTTAGCCACGGGAACAGCATTTTACCTGGAATCCGTCTTCTTCTAGTCTCCCATCCATCCCTCCACTTTCCATAATCAGTGAACAGCTCGGCATGAAATTTTGGTTTTTGTATCTAAACAAACATATAACAGCCACAATGGCTCAAAAACAGTCTTGTGTTGTAACATCCTCATAAACAAGCAAAATTAACAAGCATTAACATTATTTTTTCCATAGGCAAAAAAACACTATGTTGTACTAATCGATCCAGAAAATATGGTTTTCTGATTTATGATGCTAAAGTAAAAGTAAGCAACAAGAGAAAGAGAGGATCATTATAACTGTAACTGTGGCTTAAATCCAATTTACTGGATCCATACTTACATATATGTCACTCAGTCTCTGCGTTTACTTTATTTGAGATTACTAATACACCGACACCTTTCTAGCTCCCTGTGAGGGGCTACTGCTTTTTAGGTGTGGGTAGGATTGCTCTGTTTTTGATTTTATTCTAGCCTGTGTGATCACTGGGATCAAACCAATACAATTGGCTGCCTACCCCTCTGGAGAAGCCTCTTAATTATCTTAATGATTGAACCTCTTAACAATCTGGAGAAATGGAAAGCCCCTGGCTCTCCGTTGGAGGGAGGGGGAAATTTGTAATTTTTTAAATAGTTGCTAACCAACAGTGCATCACCAGTGCTTTGATAAGGCTTTTAAAAAATTCCAAAGCATTGCTGATATGTTAGCAAGAATAAAAAAATGCAAAACTTCCCCTCCCCAGCTCTCCAAGAGTGAGCCCGATATTCTCTGTTTCTCAAGAACACGAGGAGGCGAGGTTGTCCAAAAGGAGAAGACAGAGAGCTGCCCAAGGATCTTGAGAAATCTTTCCTTTCAAAGGGAGTCTTTCCTTTTAAAGAGAAAGAAGGCCTTTTAGATCATGCTAAAAAGATGTGATGTAGTCTTCTGACCTGAAACCAGTTGATCTTTGCATGTGGATTCAAGGATAGCACTCTGCACCACCATGCAACGATATCTGACATTAAGCGACTATTTAGCCTGATCTGGCAGCCAACTCCAATTTGGCCATCTAGCCAATGCCTCAGTTGAGAGGTGAAGTGTTCTTTAGCCCTGATGATGTGGAGGTCTGTGCTTGGCCATTTGCTGAGCCTGAGTTTTGGCTCGCTCCTACCAATTGGATTGTCTTCTGGTGCTGTCTCAGTCTTTGCTTCTATGTTTTTATTTATCCTTCGGGTCTGCCTACCGATCTGCCCTGTGGTTCTCAGCCTGTTGGCCCATGACCCAGCTTAAACAACAAGAGGTTGATGCCCAGCCTTAAGAAGGGCAGGACCTGCTCCCATTGTTCCTCTATTGTGAATATGGGTGAGGGACTAGACCAGTGGTTCTTAACCTTGGGTTACTCAGGTGTTTTTGAACTGCATCTCCCAGAAACCCCAGCCAGCACAGCTGGTGGTGAAGGCTTCTGGGAGTTGCAGTCCAAAAACACATTGGGTCACTCAAGGTTGGGAACCACTGGACTAGACAGTTTAATTGTCCCGGGCTGAATTAGCTGGATCTTTCTAAACAGGGTAGCTTTGAAGTGTAATATGGCATTTGGGACAAGCCTTGCAACTGCATGCAAAAATCAGGTAGTTTTCGGGCAGGAAACCACTCTACACCTCAAGGGATTTAGCTCTTTCATGCCTTTAAAGAGAAAGAGGGAGAGAGAAAACAGCCAAAAAAGAGAGAGATCACCTTCCTTGTCTCCTCCTATCTCCTCTTCCATGGAAGAATGGGAGAAAGTTTTCAATTTAAAAAAATTATTTCCAAATGGTATAGTGCTGAATTGGCTCTCCAATCAGCCAGTTCAGCACTGGCTCACAAAGGGTTTCTTTTTTAAAAAATTGCCTCATCTTCTGTTGCCTTCTTGATGGGGGAGCAGAACGAAAGTTTCAATTTCTAATAGCTGAAGTATCTTAACCAAAGTGATAGCTTAAGCCATCCACTTTGGTATGATCCTGCTGATCGCACATGCTGGAACCAAACCAAAACAGAGTGATGCTATGCACACGGGGGAGGGGGGAGGGAAACAGTAGCCCCTGATAGGGAGCTGAAGAAGATACTGGTAGGCAAGGATAAGGGACGTGCTGGTTCACAATCACCAATACATCATGTGGTCACTGGAAAAAGGAACAAACCAAAAAGGAACAAACCATCCCCAAAGCAGGCCAAATTAGGGGACAAACATGCACCTGATTGTACCCTATGCGCAAACACTTACTTGCCTCCTTGTGTATATGAATCCCCACTTTTGCACGTGACTGTGTGCATCAACCGTATCTCTTGTCTATGCGTCCCACGCCACTAACCAGAGTGGCCATTAGTTTGTCTGAGTCGGCAAATGGGCAGTGATTGAGAATGATGCAGGTACTATGTCAAGTAGCTCTACAGACCCTGTTCTCTTCCAGCTTCCTGGGACTGTGTAAGCACAATTGGTGGCCTTACAGACCAGGGTTATGACCATTTCAGGATTTAAGGCCATGTGGCATCATTAATATCTGTTGCAATTGTAGGTTCAGAGACATGGAAGATGGTTGTTCTCCTTTTTTCCATCTCAGCAAAGGTTACAATGAGAAACTGCAATTATTTTTTTTTCAGGTGGTTGCTGCTGCTACTCCAGGTGTGGCCTCAAGCTTATCCTAGTGAGTGTACTCCGGTGAATCTCATGGTGAATTTCCCTACAGGCATTGCCCTGGTGCTAGCCTTCTTGTTTTCAGAGGAAAATGTGATGGTAGTAGGTACATCCGTGACCTTGTGTAAATCCTAAGAGTTCTGGGGATGTATTCTCAAAGGCTTTCACGGCCAGGATCCAATGGTTGTTGTACATTTTTCGGGCTGTTTGGCCATGTTCTGGAGGTTGTTCTTCCTAACGTTTCGCCAGTCTGTGTGGCCGGCATCTTCAGAGGACTGGAGTCGGAACTCTGTCTGTGCTCTGGGGACCTTGATCAGCATAGAGGGCCGTCTTAGCATGCTGCTGGGGTACACTGCTTAGTGGCTGGTACAAAATGAATAAGGTTGTTCCATTCTACTCTTCTCAGCCATCAATAGGAAGACGGTCTATACACATATGAACATGATGCACATGATACAGGTCTCCTTTGGTAGGGACAGAAAGTCTGGTTCACCAGGGTCCCTCATGGAGCAAGTCCTACATCTATATACTGTATATATACATATATACTGTATATAGGTCCCCTTCTTATATCTGATGTGCATTTTGACATCTAAGGGGTGGGAAAACCAGTAGAGTTTTGAGACCCCTTCATTTGTTAACCCAAGGACATTTAACTGTTTGAGGACCTGGAAAGCTTGCGACCATCTGAAGCCTCCACTTGCAACTACTTTGACCTTTAGTGATGGCCTCTACCACATTCCACTAAACTCCAAAGACTGCCCCTAGGAACTTTGCCTACCTTTAACAGATTTTCTGCTGGAGCAAAGAAGTCATCTGTAGCAAACAAAATCTTTGAAAAATAAAAAGAGAAGCATGAATTGTAAATCCTATTTTAAAATAACTAGCAAGTTTATTTTACATACAATGTCTGTTTGTTTGTTTGTTTTTTAAACAAAGCAGGGGGCGGTCTATTCCCATGGCAACCTCTTTGCCTTCCTCTCCTATTGGGTCTACTCTCTTTGCAGGAATCTCATTCCATCCTTCCTGGAAGCTCTCTTCTTTCAGACCAATGCTCCGAGGGAAAGCATATGGTACCACATATATCACATACAAAGAGATACATACAGACTTGTGTAATGTATATTAATATTAACTCAATGTATTATAGTGTATTTCTTTTTCCATATTTCAATGATGAATGTGGACATTTACCTTTTCATTACATTCAAGCCATCTCTTAACAGTTGCATCTTTCTTCTTGCTTAATATCATAGGTATAACTTTTTTCCTAGGGTATAAATCTCTAAAATAGCTATGTCTATTTTTATATTTTATATACCATGCTTTGTAAAATGCTCTTAATAAACCATTAGTAATTCATAGTGATACTCATCCACTGTGTAATTAACAGGACTTAGTATTGCAACATCTATTGTGTTTCTTTAACATGCAAAGATTCCTTAACATGCAAAGATTGTACAGCTTTCGTATAGCTTTAGCTACCAGGCTTTTTAAAAAACCCTATAGCATATGCTATACAATAGCGACACAAAAACGAAGCCTGATCTGCCTTTTTAACCCTCACTTGGAACACACTGGACTTAATGTACCGTTCCTCCAATAGTTTCACACCCCAGGTCATTCAGATGCAGAAAGTCAGGTAGAACATCTGATTTTCCTCCTTTGCGATGAACCGACATGTTGTCTCACAACAGCTGAAATTTTAGTAGAATAAGTAAATGAAGATCTTGTTCTCCAGAAAGAGAAGGAAAGCAAGCCACAGTTAACTTCCTGCCTCTCATCATGCTGAATCTTCAGAAGCATCTTAAAACCAGGTCTACCAGATTTGTGTAGGCATTCAAGAGTGCAATGGGGGAGCAGGGATAGAATCATAGAGCTTTCCACACTGGTACAGCGGTGCCTCGCTTAGCGATGTTAATTTGTTCTTTAAAAAAGCGCTGCTAAGCGATAACATTGCTAAGCGAAATTTAAAAAGCCCATAGAAAAGCATTAAAACACGATTAATGTGTTCCTATGGGCTTAAAACTCACCTTTGAGCAAAAATCCTCCATAGCACCGCCATTTTCGGTGCCTCTAAAGTGAGGAATCCGTGCCTGAAAACAGCGGGCGGCCATTTTGTTTACCCAGCGGCCATTTTGAAACCGCTGATCAGCTGGCCGAAAATGGAGGCTTTGCGATGATCGCTTCCCTGCGATCATCACAAAGCGAAAATAGCCCATAGGGACCATTGCAAAGCAATCGCTTTTGCGACTGCAAAAACATCGTCGCAAAACGATTTCGTCGCTAAACGGAGCAATCGTATGGTTTCCTGATAGCACTGTGTGGCACAGGGGGGAAAAACTTGTCTGCTTGTGTTTCTACTTAAAATGATTCAGCCTTCCTCTTTAAGAGCTGGCCTGTATCTTTCTGTCACAGGGCTAGAAGCATGCCATCTTTGGGGGATGATTCATTGTTATGCAAAATAGCTCTTTTTTCAGCCTTCCCAGATGGGTGTTTGAGTTAAAATAGATTGCACTGAAAATAAGTACCTTATCCCACCGACCAGGATTGCACCCAATTTCACAGTATAGACAGGCCCTATATAGAATAGTGAAGATGAAAGGGACCTATACAGCCATCAGGTCCACCCCCTGCTCAGTACTGGAGCAGTGACTATCTCCCAAGGTAACTGGTCCCATTATTGTACTGCTCTAACAGTTAAGGAAGTTTTTCCTGATATTCAACCGAAATCCGGCTTCCTGTAACTTGAGTCCATTATTACATGCGCTGCGTTCTTGGATGATCAAGAACAGATCCTGCTCCTCTTCTGTATGACAGCCTTTCAAATATTTGAAGACTACGATCATATCTCCCTTCAGTCTTTTTTTCTCAAGGCTAAACAGACCCACTTCTTTCAGTCTTTGATGAAAGAAAACATACTTAATTCATTTAATGTTAATAAATGTCATCTGCATTAACCTCCATATTCATTTTAAAGAAAAAGACATACTTACTACTGGTGGGTTCTAAGATTCTTTGACCCACAGAAGCTCAGTGGAGAAAAGTGTCTCTCCCCTCCTTCTCTGCTGTAGCCACTGAATGCTGTCACCCCAAACTGACCCCAGGGGCTGGGACTGGATGAGTGTCCTGAACAATGGAAGTGCAATATCGTGGTGTGGCTGGTGTGGGAGAGGGAAGCACTCAACATTGCATCGAGGTCTGAGGAAGCTTTTCAGACAGTTGTAAGGAGCAGAAAGAGACATTTCAACTTTCCATCCTTCTACGTCATTGAATTTTGTGGGGTTCCAGTTGTTCAGGCAGCAAATATCCCCTCAGGGGCAGCATCCTCCCCCTCACCCACTGGTCTCCCACAGGCATTCTTTTACGGAGATAATGCCCATTATCTGCATTTTATAAGTACTTGTCTTAAAAAAAAAATAAAACTGCTGCTCAATTAGTTTAACAAGGTATTTAATCAATTAATCTAACCGATTAATCAATCAAGTGTTACAGCTCTTCTGAGGAGCAGAACATCCCGGGGTGGGTTGTCATTTTCATCCATTTCTAACACTGAACTTGCGTACCTCTCTTTTTATCAGTCTGGGAATGATAACAAGATCCAGTGAAAAAGAGGACCCTATGTTGACATCCTTGGATGACTTCCTACCTAGGTGCAGAGAGGAAGATTAGTATGCGGATCTCAAAACACAGCCACACGAAGGATGTGATGCTAGCAGAATGCCTAGGATAGATGCTCCAGCTACTCACTTTCAGTTGCTGTTTTCCGCACTGCTTCTTGCCCAGATAGACTTTCTTGACCCAGATACAAGCACAATATTTCTAATGTGGCTACACAATGCATTTGTGCAAGCGCATTACAATACTGGTCATTTTACTTCATAACCCCTTCCTAACATAAGATTTGCCTCTTTATGGTTGCTCCCAACCAAGGGGATTCCTTCACCGAGATAGCCACCCAAGACCTCAAGTTTCCTTTCTCTGTCAGACACTGCCAATCCATATTCCTTCTTGTACAGGTCCTTGTGGTTGTGTTTACACAACCAGTTTATTATTTTATCTCTGCTTCCTGAGGAGTAACTAGTTACTTTAGTTTAAAGGAAGGAAACGATGGTATTAGATCTGCGAGCAGTGCTGGAGAGACATGGTTTCAAGGAGACTTTCTCCAAATGGCCGAATGGGCCCAACTTGCATGCACAGTGGCTCCCTCTGCAGTTCTGACTCTTGATCCTGGCTTTTTGGTATGCTGACCCTGTGCAAGAACAATACATATACAGACAATATTACACGGAGTTGGTGAGTCGTGGTGTCAGCAGAGAATAGAAGGAAATGCATGCTTTGGCTTTAAAATCAATTCACATACACCGTGTTGGAGGAATTTGGCATTTGGTTATTCCTTCTGGGGGGGGGGAAGGGAGAAGATTTGCCCAGTCTCACCTCTTCCCATGGAAAAGGAAAAATGATCAATTTGGATGCTTCTTGGTTAAGGGTGGTGGGCGATATACCTTTGCAGTAGAGTACTAACTTGTTTTCTTTCCTTTTATATAGCATGGAGCTATATCTCCACAAGCCTATCTTGGAAGAGCAGAACATAGAGGACAGAGGACAGGCAACTAACAAAGGAAACAACAGGAAGGAAAGGCTGCTCAAGGACTCTGAGACATAGAGGGAGGATGCTGAAGCTCAACATAGACAGTACCAGAAAACCAGAAACCAACAAGTTCTACTCCTCAATGACATCCAGTGTTAAAGGAAGAGCATGCAAGATTGTATTTTTCCAACATAAAGAAAACTAAACTTGCTTCTCCTTCATCATTGCACATTCTGAGATTCATTTCAACGCAACAGACCCAGAAAATTATAGTAATTCCACAAGACTTCTTCAAGCTGCCATCCTGAGACATGAGAGTCTCAGCTTTTTGTCCATATCATCTTCAGAGTCCAAGTAAGGAAAGGTTCACTTAAATACTGAGACATTTGTGGATAACTAGTGCCTCTCCAAGGCTGCACACCTAATGGAGTTGGGATACCTTTACAGGTTTAATTCTACATGGACCAATAAGATTTCAATTGTAAAATCTAGTTCTATGTGCAACAACCAAATGCTGTGCCATCTTAAATTGTTATATGCCATCAAGTCAGAACTGACTAACAGTGACCCTAACAGGACTTTCAAGGCAAATGAGATATTTAAGGAGTGTCCCTCCTGTGAGTTTCCATGGCTGAGTGGGGATTCAAACCCAGGCATCCTAAGTCCTAGCCCTTCGATCTATCCGCTATATTACACAGGATATGCCCATCTTATATACATTATGAAAAAAGGAAGCAAAGTAGCTTAATATGGAATAGGAGCTCTTCATAATTTACTGGCAAAATAGGAAGTGGTCATTCTTAGGCATGCTCAAACTAAAATAATAAGTTCCGCATAGTATTTCAAGAAAATTAAATTAAAATAAATTATTCTTACTCTTCGGGCAGTTTTGCTCCACGGCCACTCTGAGGAGTCTGTAGTGTGAAGGGTTTCAAAGGCACTAGTACACAATCCACAATCTAACTCAAGCAAGTTACACAATCAGTAGATAATCATTAGGTTTTATTGATTCTGCCAGAGACTCTGTCTAAATGTCCACATCCTCCTGCCTTTTGTCATTGTGGAAGGGGGGGGGGAAGCATATATATATGTAGAAAGAATGTGCAATATCTGTATAAATCTTAGAAGCTTACTCGTGCAGTCTGTTGCTGTTTCAATATAACGGAAATGAATGTAACTAATTCCAAGAAACACAGTGTTCGCAATGCATTTTAGGACACAATTTTCCGCTATGATCTTTGCCTGTACAAAGTTTGCTCCTGGAAACGCGCCTGTAACAGAAGACAGCTCTTATCATTCACACAGCAGCCACAAAATTATCATTCCCTTTCTGCATGGCCCGACCGTGGAAGAAAGCCTGTGGTCATTATTGTGGAAAGGTATATATCCCTCCTACCTACCCATCTGCTCAAACAGGAAGCAATGCTGACTTTAATGTTAGTATTATTTAGCGTTCTGTTAAAGGCAGGTTGCCGGGGCCAGAGGCCGACCAAGCCCCAAGACTAGGGTGGGCACTTCACACATTGCCAAAAAGGACTGCAAGCATCATGAAGGAGGAGGCCCAAAGGGAACAGTGACTTGCATAAAACTGCACATACCAGTTTGTATGTACAGAAACTGAATGATAGATGAAGGCCATTACCTTGAGTCTCCACTAAGCAGAGGGACCCTTCAGCATAATGACAAGCATTCACGCCACTTGTGAAAGTGCTGCCATTGGTAAGCAGAAAGCAAGGATTTCCACCCACCTAAGGATCATCACTTGTGCAATGGCTTTGCTTGCACAAGTGGCGTAATCTTATGTGACTACAGTGGCTGGACTTCCCATGTAGCAGAGGTTCAGTAGGATACTGCAGAATTTAACGGCATAGCAATACATCTCACCTAAGAGGGGAAGACCAGGCAACCCATGTGGCTGTTCAGGTTCTGCTCACTGTGGATGGGCCACTTCAGAGGCTGTGATCTCCCATTTTATGGTTCCTTATCTTCGAATCTTGGATTGGACACTCCTTCAAATGGAGGGCATCTTTAAAAAGAGGATCATCAAAGGGAAGAGTATCCTTCCTGAAAGAGGTCACGTGACCATCCTGCCCAACTAAGAGAGGGCAGTCCCTCCAACAGAGCCATTCTGTCTTTGCCAAGAGCACCAAAGAAGACCAAAAGCACTGCAGGCATTTTTTTTAGTTTGCTATCCACATGCACACCTTGGCTGTAATTTGAGCGAGTGAGTCAGTTCAAACATCACATACTTTCCCTTATGAGAAATTGCATATGGAAAAGAAGCCTGTGTTACTTTTGTCTAAATACGTATGTAAACAAATGGTTGAGAGTAACAGCGGCAACATTTTCATAGGACTTAACACCATTGTACCAGATTCATAGACGTCATGTATGCACAGTGGAGATGATGTCATCACCAGTAGCAAATCACCACTGATTATAAGCAAAACCCTGCTGATTAAAGGAAATTTTGGGATGCATGAAACTCATGCAGAATGCAACAAAATAGTGTGTCCCTTAAAATCACCAAAGGAAGCTTCTAATCAACAGTGATTGATCAACACTGATGCTGACATCATCACCACTGCACACATAGACCTATACAACAGGATTTTAGCCTGTGCATTTGAGTGCTATTGAGTAAAACACGTGCCCCCACAAACCCAAAGTGATGAGTCTAAGTTCATGTCCTCTGCAGACATGTACTTTTTAATAAGCCAGTGGTTTCAGATTTCCTACCTTATGCCACCTTTTCTACATCCCCTAATCTGTTGTGGAATCTTTGCTCATTGCAGAGGAATCCAGAACACATGATAGGATGATCCTTCTCAGCATCCTACTGGCTAGGCCTCTTGGACTTTTCCATCATCCAGCACAAAATAAGCGTATGTTTGTTTGTTTGTTTTACACACTAACTGCCATTCACATAGCTATATCTTTCAGAAGATAGCAGGGCCAAACTTAGACAGAATGTGATGGCAGCCTGAAGCTGCCATCTAGGGAGAGGAGCATGTGAACAATGGTGTTAAGTCTTTCCTTCCAGGGAGAGGAATATTCTGCTTCAGGTGCTGCCTGAAGTGTAAATGGGCTAGGGTTCCACATCATCTGCCTTGACACCAGGGAGTTTGCTGATACAGTGGTGCCTTGAGTTACAAACTTAATTGGTTCTGGAAGATGGTCGTAACTCAAGATGGTCGTAACTCAAAGCACCATTTCCCATAGGAATACATTGAAACCCTATTAATCCGTTCCGAGAGAGAAAAACCCACCGAAAAACAAAACAAAACAAAAAAACACTGCAAGGCTCCTCGGAAACATGAATGATCCATTCCGGCCGGGAAAAACCAAAAACAAAAAGCAAACAAACACTGCAAGACCCATCACAGCACAGAAACATAATGCCCCCATCCCAAACCCATGCTGCAAAACCGTGTACTCACTCAGAACAGGCATTTTAAAAAGCAGAAAGCAGCACCAGGCAGTCTGAAGCCTCCTCCAAACACACACTCTCTAACCACTGGGGTGAAAGAACTACAAAGAAGCAACCACTTCGCCGATCAACGGTTAGCAGTTTAAATTCCTCGCCTTTCCCCCCACCTTTTTTCTGGTTGTAATTCAAAACTCCGGTCGCAAGTCAAAGCAAAATGTTGCAGCTGTAGCTGGTCGTAACTTGAAATGGTTGCAAGTCAAGACGTTTGTAAGTCGAGGCACCACTGTATGTATCAAGCCGCAGGGTCTCTTGAGCCAGCCCCGGAGGATAATTAGCAGTGGCAACCAAACTTCTCTCCATGATGATATTCCATCCTCACTGATGGTCCAGGGAACTCCAGGCCACTGGTGTCTCAAGGCAGTGGCTGAAATCTTAAGGAACTCTTCTGCCTTTCTAAGTTTTTAGGTGGGAAAACACATCTGTGGCGTCTGCCCAGGTTATGAATATTCATATGCTATCTGCATAGACCAATGAGAGTGCTGGAGGGGTGGAGTCACAAGGTATAAGAGACTCAGCAGAAGGAGGGGAAGTTTAGATAGGGAGTTTTAGTTGAGTAAATTGAGAGTGTTGGAGTTTGGGCGGGAGAGTGGTTGTTGAGAGTGGATAAAGGAGAATGTTTGTTTAAGGGTTAACAACAGTGCTTGTTCTTTCAACACCTGTAACAATAAACAATTTCTATTTGGTGCTTTTAAAATGACATATGGCCTGGTCATCTATCATTAATAATAGACAATGTTGATGTAATCAGCTGGTGGCAGCAGAAAGACACGTAGCATGAGCTCTTAGTTTGGTGAAACAAGCAGGGGCCACATGGGGTCGTGACAACATCTTAGGATGAATTGCATTTGAAGAGGAGAAAGTTTAACTGGGCATCCATTTCCATCTATTCTTAGTTGGCAACGGGTCTCACTGCCTCAGCATGAAGTTGGTTTTATGTGTGCTGTACTTGTACAGTTTTGGCACCCGGAAAAGCCAGGAGCGAAGAAAGATGATGGGTAGGTAGGCATGCACCTGGTCCCATTGTGCAGTTAGGAGCAACAGAAGGAGGGAATTGTCAACATCACATTTAATGAGCCATCTTGTTTCTTGGTAGCACCAGCACTGGAGCAAGGCTTGGGCTGAAGAGACTCCCAGTAGGTTGGCATCAGTCTTTCACAAGTTCTAGCAGGAATGTAGGGCTTGAAAAAGATCCTGTTATGTCATTAGCACTGTAAATATGGCCACATGTGATGCAAGCCCTAGTAGCAATTATGGCAACTGCTACAGCCATTAGGCACATGTTGTGTGCCTGGCTACCAAAAATGTTTTTCAACAGCTCTGAATTACCGCCTTGCCTAATTGGCAGGATCTATCCCAACTTTGAACCCCATTCACCCAGGGCAGAAGAGTTCCTTGAGATTTCAGCCACTGCCTTGAGACACCAGTGGCCTGGAGTTCCCTGGACCATCAGTGAGGATGGAATATCATCATGGAGAGAAGTTTGGTTGCCACTGCTAATTATCCATTTGCCTATGACATCACAGAGATTCACTGACTGCTCGCAAGTTTTCACCTTGAGATTTCAGAGAATGAAAGGCTGCTGACCTGGCAACTCTAAGTTAGTCTGAGAAGTATTGGGATGAGTTAATCTCAACTGCTCTAAATTTCTAAGCTAAGAGACAAGGAACCTCACAAACCCAACCTTTATTTGAAGCTATACTATTTTACTGGAATTTGGTTGAGTTCAAATATCCCACTCTGTCTGCTGAGTTACATAGGAACTCTTTGCCCACCGAACAAGATCTGTCTTTAAAAATCTATCCGTGATACTTGTAAGGTGGCTGTTTTAACAGCATGAAGGCGATTGTGGTGGGGGATTTTGTGAACACAAGACAAAAATTGTTCAAGAGCTATGGAAAAAGATGCGCTCATACTTGTTTTTCTTTCTGTGTTCACAGGTGCTTATAAAATGAATGAGAGATGAGAAATCTTGCAATAAATAAGAAATTGAACACAAATAGAATTCTATCAGTGCTCGACTAAGAGCAATTCAAGGTGGAAATCCATCCACTTGATGAAGTATGAAATATCAAGCCAATTATATCCTCCACTGCCACTTTGAAATGAAAAATGGCTAAACTAAACAGCTTACCATATTGGATTCTTTTTAATTCTTTTCAAGGCAACACCTATGCATAATAATGGGCTTATTTAATAGTGCATCAGAAGAGGCTTACAGCTTCTTTGCGCTGAGTGTTTGTCTTTAACTCCTCTTTTTAAAAATTACATCCTCAGTAATAAGCCGTGCATAGGTAATTCCTCTCGTGCTCCTACAAATCCACCCAGAATGACATCACATACAGATAATGATTTGTACTAACAGTTAATTCTGTTCTCCTAATGCTGGTCCTTAGGAAGCCAAAAATAGCACATCTGTGCAGAAAAGGGAGGCATCTGTGAGCGGAAGGAAACT